AATAATATATTAACTAATAATTATTAGAATTAATAATAATAACAATTAATTCTTTTTTATTAGTTTTTTTTTTTTCAAACAGTATAAAAATGCAAATAAAAGTCAGTAATTTTTTTGCTCTAACTTTTTTATGCCTTATATTAAACATGAAGTTTTGATAAACAAAGATAAAAACCAACTTTTCAACTTTTCGCTTTAACGACCTTGTAAAAATTTTCCACGCAGAGATTAAAAGTAATTTAAGTTCAAAAATGTTTTATGTTGAAAGAAAATCTCCGCGCGAAAGAGCAAATCATCTATTCAGAATAATAAATTTTGTGCGACGTTCTTTATGATAAAAACATTACTTTTAAGAATTGCTAAAAAAATGCTAAGCTAGAAAAAAAAGTAATTAATCAACAAAAAAAAAAACAAGTCGCGAAAAGATTTTTTTAAGAAAAAACTAATCACAAAAGTGTGTGTAGCAATCGCGATCGCGATACGCTTAATACGAGCCCTGTAAGACTTTTTTATAAGTTCTAAACTATTTAAAACTATTACTTAATAACTTTTTTTTAACGACGTCTTTCAACTGAATGCTATTATACTGTTTTTGCAAAACTAATTAAAAAAATTGATTAAAACTTAACTATTCAATCACCACTTTTTTTTACTTGAAAATCGAAGTAGATATTCTAAAGTTGTTGTGACGTATTAACGTGATTTTAAAGACTAACAATCGAGTTTCAATGGTGAAAAAATAAAATCAAAATGGAGTTGTTTTTTAGTGATTTCTGCAATTGCTTTTTATTAACATGCATTTATTCTTACAATTTAGTGAAAAAGAAAAAAAACTTACATATTTTTTTTTATGCTCTTTCATATGAGATCATATGTTTGGAGCACTTAGGGATCCCTTTAAATCCCACAAGAAACTCACATGGGATTTCCCATGTGGGTAAATACCATATGGTTCCCACATGTAACCCATGTGGGATTACCCATATGAGTTTGAAGTGGCAAAATTCCATACGGATAACACATAGGAAAATCCCATGTGGGTAAATACCACATGTAATCCATGTGGGATTTACCCATATGGGTTTTAAGTGGCAAATTTAATACGGATACCACATGGAAAAATCCGTCCCATATAAATCCCACACAGAACCCACATGGAACCCATGTGGGACATGGTTTTATTTTTCACTGGGACAATCAATTTTTAATAAAATAATTTTCCGGGATTTTCATAAAGTCATGTACTCATCTATGATATATTATGTATATTAGGGTGAGTCATTTTTCAACAATTTTTTCAAACTAAATCCCAACCACCTGGATTAGTTGACCGGTTGGATAAAAATGATTTTACGCTAGAAAAAAAATTTTGAAAGCCATTTTTAAGGTCCCCGCTTTTACAATTTGTGCCCTAAAATCCCAACTTTTTTAACCAAAAAGCGAGGACCTTAAACATTGACATAAAACACCAATTTTTTTTCTATGAATTTTAAAAGGCCTAAATATTAATTTGGAATTGGTTAGGAAGTTTACAATAAAAAAATTTATACTAATTTAGGTCAAGAAAAATAGCTTATAATAAAAATAAAAATAAAAAACGCACTTAGTATAATTTTTAAGTATATTTAAATATAATGACGCTTGCGATCGAATTTAACTCACATGTGTCACAAACAAAAACAATCTTTCTTTTTCGAACTATTTATTCTAAAAAAATTAGAAAAGATTTAAAAACGAATTCGTGCCATACTTTACTTACAAGTTTTTAAAAAGTGTATTGGTTTGACATTGGAAAAATGGGTGAAACGCTCTAATTTTAGGTAATTTTATGGATATATCTATTGACCAAATTTTTTATCACTCAAACTTTCCATGACAAATTTTATCAAATTCTTGTTTACAAAGATTAATTTGATCCAAAATTCAATTTTAAAATTAATTTCTAACATAGGGACCAATATAGGGAAAATAATTTCTTACATAGGAGGGTTAGTGGTGGGCGGCGGAGAGTTCGTTTCTTTCACTTTCCCTCCTCCATCTATTTTACTTTTTTTTACAAAATATTTATGTACCATCTGCCTTAAAGTTTTATTTTTACATATAGTTTGATTAGATTTTCATATAGGCGCTGCAAAATAAGCGTTTTAATGAAACAATTTTATTTTGCTGAATATCATGTAGCTGAGGTAAAATAATAAATTTTCTGCTAAAAAAAATATATATATATAACGGTATTGTTAAGGTCAACAGTGATAAATTAGTAATAAATAATCAAGAAAAAATTTTCTTCAAAAACAGTTTGTAAAACCATAACTCAACAATCTTTTCTTTGTGTTTTTGGTGAAAAATCAAATAAATATTCTCCAAACTATGCTTTGTCAGCGCCATTTTTTTTTGCCACTCTCCGTAGTTTTTACTTTTTCAAATTCCCTAAATTTATCCCTACTATGCTGAACTGCCAACATTAAATTTTGCCTGTCCTCTTCATTGTGAACAGAATTAACAAACTCTGACACAAGCTTAATTGTTCGTTCAGAGCAATCGTTGACAACATATATTCGGCAAACAAATTCAATAAAAGTTTTAAATTGGTCGATAAAGCCCCAAAAAGATGAAGGACAGTTCAGCCAAGTTTTATCATCGTTTTTGCTCAAAATTAAGAGACTGAAAATAAACCACGAGTTCCTACCAACCAACTGTGACATGTTAGGTGGTTTCTCCTGGGTGAAGTCTAGATCTTTCAGAAGGATTGGATTTTCAAACTTCTCATAGAGAGTAGGAACAGGTTGCGAGAAAAGAACTTTTGCAACTTTTTCTTTCTCATCATCTTCGAGTTCTTTATCTGCGAGACATAATGGAATCAAGGTTTGATCCAAATACCACATATGTCTCTCCATTGATTTCAATACTTCTTCAATTCCCTCTAGTATATCATTAACTCCTGGATCATAAGATTCCACCCTACGTTTATACTGAACCATGTGCCAGTACGCATTTAAATTTTGATAAGGTGCAGCACAATTTATTTCTATATTTTATACTGCATGGTTTGTGCACGCGCAAACCACACAGTATAAAATATAGAAATAAATTTTGCCATTTTACTGATTTCTTTTTGTAAACAAGCTGTCAATCGGTAGGGCGACTGATTACTTAAAACTTGAATTTTAAGATAATATATAGACTTTGCCATAAAGCGAGCATGGGAAACTTTAAACATTAAAGCTTACATCTGGACATAAGAAGGTGAGTATAAGTTCTACTTGTTCCTTTATAATCACCTTGAAAATACTAAATTGGCTAGTGCATATTTGCAAAATTGAACAGTTTTTTTGATCTGTTTTTTAAGATACGTTCCTTTACCTGCAGCTTTGTCAAACTTTTTGAACTTTGATTTATCCATAGTTTCCTTTGTTGCGTTCCAATTAGCTTGGAAAACTTTGAACATCAAATTTTCAGGAGCAATAAGTTTTACCAATGTGAACTTTTTCCCAAAAATGTTTACAGTGAAGCTCATATACATGTCTTCAACATGCAAGCTGTAATATATTTGAACCCTGTGTTTGACAAAACCTAATGTTTGTGCCGGAATATTTTCCTGTATTAGTTAAAGTTGTGTCAAACCACAGACCCTTTATATAAGTTCTTAGCTTATATTCATCCAAAATGTTTATTAAAGTATTATGATGAGATTTTCCAGTACAATTTTCCATTGGCGCAATGCCAAGAAGTCTTAAATCACCATCGATATTTACAAGAACAGCAAATCGATCTCTTTTTTGTTTTGTACCGTTAGTAATATCATGCAATCATGCAAGATTTTTCCATCAAAGTGTGCAATTATTGGAAATTTACTTTGGCTTTTATTATATCTTCTCGATATTTAGCTGCACTTGTTCATTTGTGGCAAACTGCGTTTCACAAAGTTTTTCTAACACTATTTTTTCTTCAAATAAAAATGTCTGAAAGTGATCTCGTGATTTTTGGTAGCATCTTTAATTTTTTTTTAAATCTTCGTTTTATTTTATCTTTAAAGTAAAAGTTATAAATTACAGTTTATAATAATAAAAATATTCTTTGCTTAAGTAAAAGTATGGCACAAATTCGTTTTTTAATATTTTCTAATTTTTTTAGAATAAATAGTTCGAAAAAGAAAGATTGTTTTTGTTTGTGACACACAAGTTAATTTCGATCGCAAGCGTCATTCTATTTAAATATACTTAAAAATCATACTAAGTTTGTGCATTTTAAGCTATTTTTCTTGACCTAAATTAGTATAAATTTTTTTATTGTAAATTTCCCAACCAATTCCAAATTAATATTTAGGCCTTTTAGTATTCATAGAAAAAAAATTGGTGTTTTATGTCAATGTTTAAGGTCCCCGCTTTTTGGTTTAAAAAGTTGGGGTTTTGGGGCACAAATTGTAAAATCGGAGACCATAAAAATGGCTTTCAAAAAAAAATTTTAGCGTAAAATCATTTTTAATCAACCGGTCAATTAATCCAGGTGGTTGGGATTTAGTTTGAAAAAATTGTTGAAAAATGACGCACCCTAATGTGTGTGTATATATATATATATATATATATATATATATATATATATATATATATATATATATATATATATATATATATATATATATATATATATATATATATATATATATATATATATGTATATATATATATATATATATATATATATATACATATATATATATATATATATATATATATATATATATATATATATATATATATATATATATATATATATATATTAAAACACAATTTTACAACTTGCTTATGTTAAAAAGATTGGTGTCTCCTTAAATATAATAAGTATATAGTAATTTATAGGTGTTGTTTTTTTTGTAATTTTATTCTCAATAAAAAGTTTAACAATTAGTTTTAATTGAATAAAGAATGAAATTATAGTAATAAAAAGCAAAGTATGCAAGCATAGACAAAATGTAATTGTTATATTTTATAAATTTTTAGGAAACCATTTTGAATATGGATGCTTTGGTATTTTCAGATTATGTTCAATCATTAATTGAAAAAAAACTTGAGAAACCAAAGCGTTTGGATCAAGAAGCTTTGCAATATTTATCAGAGATTAAGACAAAGCAGTATCACTTTAAGCGAGGTATTTAAACATTGTATTCATTTAGGTAGTTAAAATTTTTTTTTGATAAAGCTGTCATTTTTTTTAATGTTTTTTATATAATAAAATAACAATGGATTTGAAAAGATTTTGAAAAAAAAGTTGTTAGAGGCAACTCAAGACCATTTAATATTTAACTGGGTACTAATATTGTATTTAAAAAATTAGACTATTCTTGGTCTCAATAATATTAGGGATCGGTTAAAGATTTGTAAAAATGTAGCCAATAATGAAATGATTGTTGTCAATCAAAAATGTAACCAATGAAATCACTTGATATTTTAATAGTTTTTTCTCAATGTTATCACAAGTGTACAGTGTACAAATTTTTAAACCAATTTTTTATTTAACCTCAATCAAAATTTTATGGGAATTTTATTGCATTTTTTTGGATTATTTCTGACCATTCAAAAATACTATAAATTTTGAGTTGTGTAAGTTTTATGTAAGTCAGCAAGTGTACAAGTCAGAAAAGGTAACAGTAACACATTATTACTTATATTTTGGGCAAAAATGATAGAGTGAAAAAATTTAAGAAAGCACTATCGAGATGAAATTATTGAATTCAGTCTCAACAAAAGTATAGTTGTTGGTTTAACTTCAAGTTACTCTTACACGAAATTGTACTTTAAGAAAACACTTTCATGAAGTTGCTTTTTAAAAAAATACTTTCATGAAGTTGCTATATAAGAAAACACTTGCATGAAGTTGCTCTTTAAGAAAGCACTTGTTTGAAGTTGATCAGTATCAGTAGAAAAGAAATGTCTTCAACCATTTTTAACATAATTTTAATTGAGCTTAAAGTTATTTGAGAAAGAGCAAGTGTTCCAATCAAGTCTAATCAATCAAGTTCCAATCAAGTCTAAATCAAGTCTCAAGTCTAAGCCACAACTATTTTTTGAAAGTGTTTGGCGAGGGGAAAAGTAGTGCAATAGTAGAAAATGAAAAGTAGTGAAAATGTGCTTACTTTGTCTGCATCTGTAAAAGCACAGAGCAGTGTGTGAGACTTTGAAAAAAGATTCTGTTAGAAATGAAATAATTGAGAAAGTTATCATTGTAGATTAGGTACTTATTGAATTGACAATTTTCGAATCTTGAAATTTTACAGAATGGAAGGAGTTCTTGGTTCAAGAAATTTGTGCTAATCATTGTGCAAGATTTATGCATTGATTTAATTCTCATTATCATAGGAAAAACTTGATTGCAATCTGGATTTAATTTTAGCTCCTTGCAGGCTATTGAATTGAGGATTGTTATCCTTTTCAGAAAGTGATTTAACTTCTTTCTTTTTATAAAATACATTGTAACGTTTCTTTCTTCGTGATTTTTATTTCCCATTTATTTACTTTACAATATGAAAATTAAGACTTTGAAATATGAAAAGAAAATATAATTTTAATAACAAACACTGAAACTTCACTTTAAAAAGCACACTATTTAACAACATTTTTATGTTGATATAGCCCATAATTCAGTTAAAAATAGTTATATTTTACATAACAGGTTCAAATAATGATAACAATTTCAAGACCTCTCATAAATTAATCTTACCAATTAACTAGATAGATTTATAGTTGTTTTAATTCTGTAACTAAGGACTCATTTGTATATGTACCTAACTAAAAGGTTAAATATTACAAATTACATATAAAAAAAGGCAGAATTTTTTTCAAAAAACTGAAAAAGAATAAAATTTTCTATTAGATAAAATAATATTATTTTAATTTCAATTTTTTTTTTTTACTCGCTTATTTTAGGTGATGAACCACCTTAAGTTTTTAGCAAACTTTTTTCCATTGTTTCATTTTCTTTCATAAAATTATATCAACAATTAATTATATCAACATCTTGAGTTGTAGCCATTTTCAATTTTATTCCTAGTCTTTAATGCTCTCAATGGTATCTTCAATTTAGCATTCAATGGTCCTCAATGTAGGTTTGAATGACCTATTTGATTTTTTTTAAATATAATGGTACTTTTAAATTTAATTTTTGTTACTTTAATGGTATTTTTAAATTTAATTTCTGTTGCAGCTCAAGTCAAAATGATTTAAAGTTTCTATTTAAAGTCTATTTAATGTCTGTTTCAAGAACTTTTAGAAGTTTAATTTGAAAAATAAAATATAAACAATTTACATAACTTTAAAAGATGTTGTTAAAATAAAAAATAGAAATAGAAAAAAACTCTTAAGTTTCATAAGTTTTCTTGTAAGTGCTTTAGGTTTTATCTCTAATAGTCCAGCTTTTCATCAAGATATGTTTTTTAAATACTTGCTTCCACTTCTTCTTCCACTTGCTTCCTCTCATTAACATCTATTTTCGAATTCGCGCCATGAAGTCGATATAAAAGTTTATATCCACTTTCCTTCATATGTTAACTTAACCACTTAAAATGGATCAGTTTAAAAAGTACAGTGATTTTCTTGGAGTTTCTTTTTTTTTCACATCTTCTTATGTTTTTTTATCCTTTTCTCTTCTGTGTTGTTTGTTGTTTATTTTTATGTTGCTACTGTTTTTTAAGTTTATGTATAGAAAAACTTATTTGCAGTTGTATTATTTTTAACTTGTAAATGTAGAAATCTAATGATAAACAGTTGTAAAATTGAACAGGTTATAATATAGTAATATAGTTGTAAAATTGAACATTTTAAACAAATGTTCTTAAAAAAGCACTTGAGTTATGTTATATATTCTGTGTAATAATATTGCAAATCGTAGTTTCTTATTTATAAATTCAAAATAAGTGATTGATATATAAAAATATTTATATATCGATGGTTAAGAGCACAAAGGGAATACGTCCACTAACCATTGTTTTGAGAAATCTGAATTTGAAAGTTTGAAAACATACAATGATTCATGATATTTATTTATTGTCATGATTTTTAACCAAATTCATTCCTCGATTAATTCTGTCTTGTTTTTTACTATTTTATTTTCATTTCCTTTACATACTTTAATAACCTAATTTGGTTAATGTTTACCTACTGTTTAATGTTGGACATATTCCCTTTGTGCTCTTAACCATCAATATATATATATATATATATATATATATATATATATATATATATATATATATATATATATATATATATATATATATATATATATATATATATATATATATATATATATATATAGATATAGATATAGATATAGATATAGATATAGATATAGATAGATAGATAGATAGATAGATAAAAGAAGAAGAAAAAGAAGAATTCTTCGTATCTGATTTTACTTGCTTAAATCAAAACTTTTGGTTAAACTACTTAAGCCCACTTGCCTGTTTTGGTATGGCAAAATCAAACAAGTGTCATTTTAATATGGTTTATACATTTTTAATTGTTAAGTATATCAGTACAGTGCAGACCCAAATATGCAATTGTAGATTTTGATGTATGAAAACTATTCTAATGCATTATTCATATTTTTTGTGTTTGTTTAGGAGAGGTAGAGGCTAAGGCCTTGCAAAGTATAACAAAGGAAGATGTTTTATTTTTTTATAAGGTATGTAATATATATATATATATATATATATATATATATATATATATATATATATATATATATATATACATATATATATATATATATATATATATATATATATATATATATATATATATATATATATATATATATATATATATATTATCTTGATATTTTTGCAAAATTTGTATTTTTTAATGTTTTTATTATTATATTATATTTATTTGTTTATTTATTTAAAATAAATATAATATAATAATGTTTTTATTATTATATTATATTTATTTTATTATATTTATTTTGTCATCTTTAGATTTTAAGTTTAATAAAAATAAGCAATTTTTGCTCTAAAGGACCAATAATTAATTTTACTAAAGAATATAAAGAATAAACAGATTAACAAAAATATTTTATCAATTTGTTTCCCCTCACGTTTGGGGGTGTGGGTTAGTTAAGGGGTTTCTTTGTTCCCAGCCTTCAATTATCGCAATTTTTTGCACAACCTCATTATTTGACATAAGTATAAACATACAAATATTTGGAGTTTGCTCCATGTCTGGAAGTTAGTTATCTCAAACACCAAAAAATCCTGGGTCCGTCACTGAATGTAAACTTATGTTTGTATTATGTTGATGATAAACTTATCCTCGCCTATTATTAACTGCGTAATACAATAATGCAAATAAAATAGTATTAAATAATGTTATTATAAATTAATAATTCCATCGGTTAAAGAATTTATTTGTTTCTGCTTCGCTTGCATGCTTTGTTTGCATAATTTTTTTTGTTTTGTTTTTTCAAAATATTTATAAGCGGCCGTGGCGCAGTGGTTAGAGCGCTTGCTTTATAAGCAGGAAATCCAGGTTCGAAACTCCGGACATATTTTCGCGTCACGGTAAGGAAGGAGGCGTGAACTTCCTAGTTATATGCACTTCCGCGGTGCTCTGTGACAAGACTATTTGGTCATCTTGGGGCACCTAAATAACAAAATTTAAAAAAAATGTTTTGTTTTGCGACCTTTGGCCACTTTTAAAATAAAATGAAAGTTTAAAATAAAATGAAAAAAAGGAAACGTTTTCTAACGATTTGTTTTGCTTTTTGGGGTAGTATATTTTTTGCCTTAGAAAATCTACTATGTAGATAAAGGTGGAACAACTGTTCATCATTCAAGTAAGGTCAATAAAAAAAAAGATTTATTATTTTTTGAAAAAGTTTTTAACAATTTTATTTAGAAATACATAAGTCCAAATTCAAATGCTCGAAAATCACTAACAATTTCGATACTTGGAAAAGACGCACAAAGCCTTTTAGAAGACACTGAGAAGGTGAGTTTTTTGTGCGGTCGATTTTTGTTGTTGTTGTTGTTGTTAAAAAAGTTTAAATTTTTAAAAGTAAGCGTAGCCCTGTATAATATTTATTCTAAAAGTTACAGAATTATCTAATGATAATGCTTCATCAATGGTTGAGCCAAAATATTTTATTTATCAATAGTAGAAGTCTTTTTTTTTTACCAAAAAATGCTTTGTAGATGTTCAGGTGGTGTTTAAATTAGCTTTGTGCGTGCTGCAGTTATTTTTACTATAAAGCTGCAAGTACGCCATTCAGCCTTTTCTTCTCGCTAGTTGTCACCCAGGCTTTATCAAAAAAAAATTATTACTTTGTTCTCCTCCTTATATACAAGCGCGCTAAAGGTAAATGTGATTTTAACTCGAGTAGCAAACAGTATTAACGCAATATTGTTTACATAATTTACATATTGTAAACAATATTACCTCTTTATTAATTGCTACTCGGGGATATTCTATTTCGCGTGGAATATTCCATCTCAAATATACTTGGCATATTTTTCAATTTTAATACATTTAAGTGGTATTTTAGAGATTTGTTTTGTAGCTTTGAACATTCGCATTGAACATTTCATTAATTGCGGAAACATTTTTAATTATAGAAAGATTGGATGCTCGTCGATGACGTATTGCGTTTCAAGTCAGGGCTGGGTCTTTATCCTTTAGTACGTCCTTATAACAACGAAACTAAATTGTTGGGGACATCAGCAAAATCAAAGTTGTAACTCATATTTGTATTGACTATAAATATTTTAGAAAAACTTGTTATTAATTTTTTTTAGAAGTTTTAATAAATTGTAAAAGCAGCCATTACTTTAGTTTAACGGAGTGGTGAGAATAAAGCCCCAGATCCCGAAAGCCCCAGAGTTCGAAACCTGCTCTAGATGTCAAAGTCCTATTAGAGAGAATAAAATTGTTAAATGATATTGTCGTGATTATGCGAATTTCTTTAGTAATAATTAAAAAGAAAAAAGCGGGTCTACATAGTTACAAGTTTTTATATTTTTGTTGTTTTTTTTTAATTTATTTAAATGACAGGGCCGACGATACGGTTTCAAAGTGAAGGGGCACAATCGTCATTCTCTAAAAAAAAAAACTCTATATCTAGAAATTTCTTTAAAAAAAAAAAGTCCTTTAGAAAAAAAAAGGGGAGAAGCACGGTTTCCTAGCCCCCTCCTCCGGTGTCGTTGGCTCTGAATGATCTAAAGTATCCTGTTTACTAATTTCTGCCAAAAAATTAATAAACTTGTCTTAACGATAAATAACTAACTTAAACATCTTTCTAATTTATTAGTGCAATAAGTTAATCTTCATACTATGTGGTGGAAGAATACTTAATTCAGTATGCTGAGTTGGAGGACCTTAACTTCTATGTATAGATGAAGGCTATTTTGATTTCCATTGTTGCTTTTTGTATAATTTTGTTAAACAACCTTCTCTTGGTTTGCGATCAAATGGTAGATTACTTTTAAAATATTTTTTCTGAAGTATCAGCATTTGTTCTGAGCAAAGCTGTACAAGAAAATTAAACTAAAAAAATGTTAGAAATAAACATTAGAAAATTCACAGCTTATTCTCTATTGGTAACGCAAAAATGGTCAGAGCTGGTATCGAATCTCGGACCTCTTGATTCTTAAGGACACACTCTAACCACTCTAACCACTTCAACACAACTGCTCAATTGAAGGAGAAGAAAATTAAAGGATAATTAATAATAAAATCCAATAGAATTTGTTTCCAGTAAAGGGGCATCTACTTAATTTTCACAAAATGATTTATTTTTGACCCTCCCTCCTTGAACGCACTTGTATGCCTTTAGCCCTCCCCACCCCCTCTTCTCTATGCGTACGTACGCATTATTTTACACAAAAAAAAACGTAATTAATTTTACATTTCTCTATTACACAGTTTAATGATTTTTTTAAACTGGTTAAATTCAATGTTAAAAAAAAAAAAAGTCTTAGAAGAGATTTTAATTTAATATATTTCAATAATACAGTTTACATTTTTATCTTTATAACTTGTTAATGGTGATTGTTGATTCTTTCGATCTCTAAAATTTGTTGCATTTATAAAATGTTTACCACCTCTGAAATTTGTTGCAATTTATTAAATGTTTACTTATCTTATCGGTAAATAAAAATTATCTTATCGGTATTTGTTTATTTCGGTAAGAGGATCCATTTAATCAACTTTCTATTACTTTCTTCGAGTATTGTGTGTAATTGTATTTTGAGTTTTTATATCCGGTTATAAATTTGTTCAAATTCTCAGTTATTTTTAGTTTTTAAACATCCAAACCTTCAGTTTTTTAAAAATAATTTTTTTTTTCTCCTTTTAAATAATCTCCTTTTAAATCATCTCAATGTTCGTTCTTCAGTTTTAATAAATTAACACTTTTTTTCTTCTTTTAAATCGTTTCAAATTCTTGTCAATCAATAAAGACGTAAATACTGAAAAGTTGCTGTTTTAACTAATGCGTTCCGGTCTGATAATTTTTTTAATTTATTTTTATTTATATGTATACACATACATATATAAATACACTTATATAAAGATTTTTAGTCGGCTAACTGGACCCTTAGTCGGCAAATTGGACCCTTTTAGACTAGTTAGTCGGCAAATGTCGACCCTTTCGATATAGGTTAGACAGTCGGCAAATTTTGGAAAACAAGGACCTTTTTTTTTTTAGTCGGTAAAAACTTGGTATCTGATAGATCTAATGATCTTGTCATCAGAACCATAAAACGTTATAATAAAATATAACTTAAGCCATTAATAAATATAAACAAATAAAAATGACAAAATACAAAAAAAAAAAGAACGTGTTTACATAAATTTCTTATATAACTATATTTTATCTGAATTATCCCACGACAATTTAAAGTTATGTAAATTGTATATTAATGTGGAGGATTATTATCATTATTATTATTATTATTTTCTTAATCAGCTATTGTAAAATATTTTTACAAGGTAAAAGTACACCCAAAAACAAATGTTTAAACTTTGAAAGGAAGAAAAGAAATCATTTTGGAATGTTTTCTTCTAGAGTTTGCTTAAAAATGTTTCTCTGTTCTTTTATGTTCCACCAATCTAATGAGTATATTAATTTTTTCTCAATATCTTTTGGAATTTTATCCCCCACCACCACAAAACGAATTCTATTTTTTTCATTCTTTAATTTTTCAAAACTCAGTCCACTAATATGGCACACCTGCTAGACATCATCTACAAAAGATTGTTTTACTATCGGATTTTTAAGCTGAGATTGAATAATATCATTGGTCGATTTGTTATCCAAAAGATGAATAAATAAGTTCATTTTATTTTGGTGAATACATTTTGATATGTCTTGAATTTTAAATAACGGGTGTAAATAATATTTGCAATGTTTTGAAAGGTTGAAAAACGATTTTAATGCTTTCCTTTCAATTCTGTCTAGGTTTTGCATTGTTACGTCATTGATTTTACAAAGTTCCCGACCGTAAGTTAATGTTGGTACTATCAAGGTTTGATATAATTGTGTGATGGATTTTGGATGAGCAAAACAGATTCCAGATTGATTAAGAGTTTGGACAGCTGCCCTAAAATTAGATATTTTTTCAGCAATGTTTACCCGATCAAGTGAGGCAAATGTAGAGTGCTCCGTATCACATGTAAACTCTAAGTGTTTTAGTCTATTGTATAAATTTGATTGATTACCATCGAGAGATATTGATCAATTTTGTAACTGTCTTTTACCTGTCAGGAGGAGCTCTGCTTTATCAGGGTTTAATTTTATGCAATTTGAATTGCAGTATACATTACAAATTTTGATTGATTTTTCCAGACCAGATAGAGTTGAGCTTAAAAATATAACATCATCAGCATACGCTACCACACCAGCAAAGTTACAATATATAGACATATCTATATTACTTTCATTTTTTATGGTTTTGAGAAGGTCCTGGGTATTTAGATTTAAATTAGAGTTAGATTTAAATCCAAATTGTAGCGGATGAGTGTTCTTGATCTCCGGGTGAGTGTTCTTGATCTCCGGACATATCATTAAAATCAGATATTCTAGAATTTTTGTAAAAATAGGTATTATACTAATACCTCGATAGTTCTTTGGGTTTACCGAGGACTTTTTGTATGATTTAACTAGTGGTATAATGATAAATGAAGACATTGATTTCGGAGTCCAACCATAATTGATTGAGAAATTAAAATAATTAATTAGCCATTGTGTCAATGCGTCACAATTTGCATGTTTCAAATGTTCAGCTGAGATACCAAATGAGTCGCTAGACTTGTTTGATTTTAAGGCAGAAATAGCTACTTTAATATTTTGTTCGGTTATTATTACATTATCATGCTTTGTGCACGATGGGATTTTTCGAGTTTTATTGCTTTGGGTTATTCGAGGAGTGTTTAACATTTTTTCAAACATATTTGCAAACTCTGTGATGATAGTTTCGTTATCCTTTTTATTGTTTATTGTAAATAATTGTGAGTTTGTATCTTTTTTTATACTTCTAAATGCATTCCAAAAGTTTTTTGGTTTGATATTTTTTAGCTTTTCGATTACAACGTTTTGCTTGTAGAGTTTATTGTTTTAAGCTAACTTAACGGCTTTTCGGAAGTTTTTTTGAGCCATTTTATACATATTATAATTCATAGAATTAGAACATTTTGAAAACCCAGTATCTCTCCATTTTTGAAAATGACAAAACCTTTTTATTTCGACTTAAATCAGGAGTCCACCAGGGTTTGAAATAAATAGATTGTTATTTCTGGTTAAGGTATTTGCAATGAGCTGCAGTTATACAATTGATAAAGATTTTATAAATTTGGTTTAGCTCGTTTTCATAACTGCCAGTTGTGAGGTTCAGGTTATTAAAACCAACATTTAGGTGGTCATTATATGAGTCTAAAAAAATGTTGTTACTCCAGGCATAACTTGGAATATAACTTTTTTCTCCTGTTATCTAGCCAATATTTTCTTGAGAATTTCAACAGATAAGTTTAATAGAGATTGATATTGGTATGTGATCGCCCGTATTTTGAAAGGAGGAAGAATTAACACTACATTTTTAATAAATAAGAGATGTATTTTTACTATGATTCTTTTACTGTTATTTATTATATATATATATATATATATATATATATATATATATATATATATATATATATATATATATATATATATATATATATATATATATATATATAATATATATGTATATATATATATATATATATATATATATATATAATATATATATATATATATATATATATATATATATATATATATATATATATATATATATATATATATATATATATAATATATATATATAAATATATATTTATATCTTTCACTGTTATTTATTATTATTATTATTATTATTATTATTATTATTGTTATTATTATTATATATATATATATATATATATATATATATATATATATATATATATATATATATATATATATATATATATATATATATATATATATATATATATATATAATATATATATATATATATATATATATATATATATATATATAGTTATCTTATCACTGTTATTATGATTCTTTCACTGGTATTATGACACTGTTTATACCATTTACATTTTTAAAAAGAAATTCTTTTATAGTACTGGGGTAATGATGTAAACTGTCCGAGTACATATCACTAAAAAAGTTTACATCTGGGTCTGTGTTTTTATCTGATATAATGTATTTTTCGTAAAAAATATAGGTTAGCAATTGAAAGTCATTCATTTTTGTAATCATTTTTTCATGTGCACAAGTTAAATTTCTTTTTGTTATTGTAGTTATAAATTGCGCGTAATCAAAATCAAGAGATAAAGAACTATCAATAAAGAACCGCGTACCTATTCGTTGTCTTTAACTCTCCTCCTCCCTTCTACTCATTTGTACGTTTTTGGTAACCATGTCTCTCCCTATACCTGCGTACATACTTTATGGAACGCCTCTACTATTTTTTTTTTTTTTTTTGTATTATTTTCAATTTTTGTAATAATGTCGCTTGCAAATATTTATTTACGCAAAAGCTAAAGTTTTTTTTTTTTAAGTTTCAATTTATATAGCACCAGTTTCAATTTATTAGCAAAGTTAAGTCCGGATTTCAATCAAGCTGTTTTTACGATAACGACAATTGTATTATAAAAATATCATTAAAAGCTGTAATTTTTATGATTATATTTTGTTTTACAATAATAAATAATTTTATTTATAGAGCAGTTTGAAAAACCCTTAAAAATTGAATAAAAAACTGACTTACTCAGTTCATAAAAATTTGATTACCTTTCTTTCTTTGAAAACAAAACAAATTATACAGCAACGCTAAAAGAACTTTTTAAGTATTTAGGTTTAGAACGCGCAACATTTAATACAAGGATTTGTAAATTGTTCAAAACTATTGTTTATAATAACTAAATAAATATAAAAATATACCTACCAGAAGACCAGAACTACTAAGAACTACCAGAAGATCAGAAATACTAAGATACCAGAAGAACTAAGAAATCTGGAGAACATGAAGAAACATTATTAACGCCATTTTCAGGAAGTAAAATTACAAAAAAAAAAAAAAAAAAAAGTGGACTTAAAGAATAACCATAATTAGAAAATATGGAAAGAGAGTAACATATAATTGTACGAAGAAGTCAATTTTGGAAATATCGGCATTGCAGTGAGCTTAATTATAATATAATTTAACACCATTCATTGGCTCTTTCATTGCAGTGAGCTTAATTATAATATAAAACAACACCATTCATTGGCTCTTTCATTGACAAGATGTTATGAAAGAGTTGATTTCTCTTTTTTTTAAATAGGTGTATGGCAGATTATTAGCATTGTTATCCAATTTATTTTAAATTTATAATATTACCCAATAAAGTAACTATTTAATTAAAAAATTTTTTTTTTTTAATTAATCGAAATTGACTTTTTTTCATACCTTTTTAAAACTGGCTCTTTCGTACACACTCTCCCCTATAAACAATTGATAGATGGATTCGGGAAAGTGAACTAATTAAAGGAAAAAAAAGGAAAAACTAACACATGATTGGTTTTTTTAAACTCTACCAAATAACGAAAAAATGATGAAGTCATAGGTAATGTGTTCTCACTTAAGGCAAGCTACTTTTTATTTTTTATTGCAAACAGTTTGCTGAAAAAGCAAACAGTTTTCTACAAAAGTTTATTTTTACATCATCAAACCTTTGGAATTATAAATACAAATTAAAATTTTTGGGTTATGACCATGATGACATAAATAAAGCAAATTTCTCGGTGAGAAGATAAGACTTATAAGTTCTCTTGCTGTTGCCGCATCATTAAAAAAAAAACAAAAAGAAAAACGTGGATAAATGGTAAATTTACAAAATGTATGAATTATTTGATAAAATACAAAATAAAAAAAGTAAAAAAAAAATTAAGAAATCTTATGTAGTAAAAACTCGAATTGTCTTCCGATGAGTTGTTAAAAAAGTGTTTACACGATCTAACTCAAAATTCAAATAAACTTGGTATTTTTTCAACAAAACTGCAGCTGGAACTCTCACCAAAGATTTAGTGCGTGTATTTGTTTGTATAACATAATAAAATTCTTTACATTAAGTAAAGTCTATACAAAATTTTTATTTCTTAAAGTGTATTTGTTTATGGATTTTCAAAAAAATAAAACTTAAAAAAAACTAAAGGGCATAAGTATTTTTTCTACATATTAGTAAAACATAAAACATTAAATACATTTAACTTGTAACTATACATTAAGTATTCTTGCTTCTATAAAAATATTTTTGAATGTGAGAATCGATCTGCAAAATTGATTAAACGCTTAGCGTATTTCTGACGTCGATAGGGGTCGTCCATAAATTACGTCACGCTATAACGAGGGGGGGGGGGGGTTGGTGGTTTTGTGACGACTCATTCAAAACTCGCTTCTTAAGTGTTACGATTTTGTGACGAGGAGGGAGGGGGGGTTCAAAAACGGTTAAAAATTGCGTGACGTAATTTATGGACAACCCCTAGAGACTTTTTAATTTACTTTTGCTTGAGCTACTTAAGCAGTAAAAGCATAAATTTAAAAATGTAAAAAAAGAAATAAAGTTGTGTTAAACTTTTTCTATTTAAATATATTCTGACCTTGCATAAGATTTTAATACTTTAAGGTACTTTAATGCAAATGTAGTTTATATATTGTTTCTATATGATGTTCTCGTCAAGAAAAACACCTAAAAAATTTGTTATTAAATTTCTTTTCATTACAACTTGATCAATAAAAATTTGCGGGTAAGGAACATTTTTTGGATGAAAGAGAATCCGTTTTGTTTCATTAACGGTTAATTTGTTACATTTGATACTTTTTGCAGTTCATTATTCATAGTCGAGTAGAGTTGGTAAATATCGTTATTAGAGAGAAACAAATAATTTGCAAACATGATAATCAAAAGATGCGAGGCTTTAATAAAGTCATTTACGTAAATCAAGAACAAAAGTGGTCCTAGAATAGAGAACGGCCCTAGAATAGAACCTTGCGAGTTGAATTAGGATGGAACTTTTAAAGTTGACTATGATAAAATTTTCACATAAAATTCATATTTGTTAAAAACAAGTATGAAACTTATGTTCATAGATGAGCCTTTTTGAGAACCTCCGAAATTCGCTGAAAACTCCTTTAATCTTTTTTGCTAAGATTTTGTGATTAAGTTGTATAAGCTTTTTGTAAAAAAAAAAAAGTTGTACAAAATTTTTTTGCTAAGATTTAGCTGTGATTAAGTTGTATAAAATTTTAAATATGGCAACGTTTGCATTTAAAGAAACTATGTTTTCTATGACTTAAATTTTGACAAGATTAATTTTTGCAATAACTTTTTTCTGAAAAAAAAATTGCTCTGAAACAACGAGTTACATATACTTTGGAAACAATGCTGAAAAATAATTGTCAAGAATAATTACTTGAAATCCTTACTTCAAATCACCATTTTTTATAACCTTGCTAAAAGCTTACTAATATTCCTTTATTAAAATGCCATTCTGCAACCCAATGTCTCAAGATATGTAGTTATAAATTAGGTGGTATTTAATCGAGAAGTTATGCAGCGCTTCCACCCGTATTTGTTGATGTACGTCTTGACCATCATTGGGCATGATGAACTCCATAGTTAACTAAAAGACAAACCGTCTTGATACTTCAACGTACTCTACCATAGCTTCAGTTAAGTAGTAATTATTAGCAAGCAAGACCATAGCGTTTGGGTACTTTAAGAGACGAGATATATTGTATAACTCAATTAAAAAAAACATCCGTGGTTATTTGCATACTCTAATATGAAATAAAAAAAGAAGAATTAAAGCTGAAAAACGCTTTTTTTTTAAAAAAGTTCAACGCGGGAAAAAAAAATTGTGAACGGTGCAAAATAGTTAAAGAATCTATTATTGATCATGCAAAAAAAAAAAAAAAATGATGAAGAATTCGCAAAAGAAAATAATAAGATTAAAAGTATTTCTGGACTTTTGTTGACAATTCGTTTTAAAAGTAAATTATCATATTTTGACTATTGTCTATCATTTTGCTTAAAAAGTAAATTATCACACTTGCGTCGTTTGAGGTAAAACTAGGATGGTTTAATTGACTTTAGTGAATTTTAGTGAAGCAAAATTACTCAGTAGTTTCATTTATTTATCTCTTTACCAACTGTCCAGAATTTACCCATATACCTTTGTTATGTGTATAGTAAAATTTTTTCCAGGATTTTAATTTTAAAAATTTCAGGGATTTTCGTTAAGTTAAAAACTCATCCAAGTACGATTGCAGAGTTAAATATGAGTGATTTATTGCTAATAAAAGCAATACTTTTTTTTTTAAATTTAAAAAAAAAAAAAAAATTGTTTTAAGATGAATTTTAGACGAGGAAACGTTTGCAAAGATAGTCTTTATTTCTTGAGTTCATTTATTTTTCTTGCATGAGTTCAATAATAAATAATCTGAAAAACGAAGAATATCATCAAAAAAATGTAAAGAAAATAATAAAAATATATACAAATAATTAAATTAAAATGATTAAAAAAAAGGGTAATAAAACGCAAACATTACGAGTAGTAAAAGAATCTAAATTTTCAGTTTTCGTCTTTTCAAACCCGTTTATCAAAACTTTTATTTCAAAGCCTTTTATTAGAAATTTTATTTTAAAGCATTTAAAATACTCAACATAATGTAATTTTTATAAAAAACAAGTTTTATTTTATTGGATGTGATAAATAAATGTATATTAAAAAATTATAAATCTCTATCTACATACGAAAGTTTAGAAACATTATTCTAAACAGTCTTCGTGGGATCGATGTTTGGAAGATTGAAACACGTGTATATTATTCGAGGAGCCGCTCTTAACGTTCATGAATGTCGGATTTTCTAACCTGCAAAACAAAAGCTTTTCCTATAGCAGTTTTCTTTGAACGAATTCTTTTAGGAAGTATTAAGAATAAACGAACGTAATATTAAACGTTCGATGGGACGAAATTCACATAAAGTTAACCTTACTTCCAATGAATAACCATTTTAGCAATTTACTTATGTCTACTATATATATATATGGGCAAATATATCAATTCCACTATTGATAGTTTTTGGCCCTTCATTTAGATAATTCATCGAAAACTTCAGATATAAACTCAAGTAGCTAATTTGTCATCATAACAATTTCCTCACCATATGAAACAACATATAACAGTTAAATCACTTCTCTGAAATCATTTACCTCGTTATGATTCGCTCATCGTCGTCGAATTTCCCCATTAGAATCGGCTCATCGACCAATAGGATTTCAGGATTCGGATGAGGAGGAATTGCATTACTTGATAACAGTTTCTTTGATTTGCTAGTTTTTGCATCAGCTGAAGGAGGTTTACGCGGTTTTCTCCTTTTGTTAGTTACAGAAGCAGCTCGAACAGGGTCATCTAAAAAAATAATAATCATTTATAAATAAATAACATTTAAAAATTAGTAAGAAATAAATACAAAAATCCACAACAATAATCGGTGAACTAAGTGTGCGAATTCGTACAGCGCACTGTTTGAGTGTAAACATTGAGTGTAACACTCAAACATTGGTGTGTTTTGTACACACCAATGTTTGAGTGTAATGTAAATGGAATTAGTTGTTTACTCTCTTTTTGAAGATTTTTTCTTTTAATTTTTTATCTTTAATTTAAGATGTACTTACAAGGAACTCCAGACCAAAGTCTTGTTCGCTGTTCATAATCTAAAAAATTTTTAAAGTAAAGAAGCAATCAATCTTTGTTTACTAAATATTTTCACGAATGATAAATTCACCTTGATTTAAAAGATGTGACTGCCAATTTTCATAAACAACACTTTTTAAAGCATCTAAATTTTGAAAAACATAATAAAACATTAAAATACAGTCTTAACAAATATTTGATATCAATATTTTTGCAAAAATATGTTTTTTTCATTTAATGAGATCTAATATTTCCTTTATTTTTCTTCATTAAAAAAAGAAATATAGAACAACATAATACCCTTCAACAACATTGGCTTCAAAAGAAAAAGGTAAAAAAAAAACAACTTAACACAATAACATAAATTTTAGGTTTACAATAAATAACACAATATAACACAACATAATATTTTACGCTTTTAATAATTTCACAGTCATTTTAAATGAGTTTTTTTGGAAGACTAACACAATTTTTTTTTTTTGAATTTTTTTACATATGACGTCTTTAATTATGCGCCATGTTTTTGGAGAATTGTTTTTAAATTTTATTAATTGGTTAGTATAGTACGACTTTTTTGAATATTTTATAATGGATTTAAAGAGTCGCTTGTAATTTTTGTAATTTGACTCATTTTCAAAAGTTTATTTTTTAATAAATTTTTCATAGAGGCGTTATTTTTTTTTTGTTGATGATTTTATGATACCCGGTGTTATCCAAAGGTTTTCAAATGTTTTTTCTTTAACAAATTTTATAATTTTTGGTCATGCTCTAAAAGTTACTCAGCAGAAGAAACTTTAGCTTTAATATTAGATAGTAAAATGAGCAGGGTTGAGTATCAAACTACCCATCAAGAGGCCTTAGATGAAGATTGCGTGTTATATCCTGCCTACAATTTTATTGTGAAAGGCTATATTATAGCTAATCAAACAGTTGAATGTAAGACAGTTGAATGTAAGAACATTATAAATATGCAATCATCATTTTTTTTTCAAATAAGACAGTTAAATAAGTGTAGCATTTTTCAAACATTTTAAAGATAAGACTTTTTATTAAAATATTTGATTTTTTGCAATTCATATAGGATACAATGTCAAGTGTTACCATAATCTTTAATTCACTTGAATAAAGCAAACAAATTCTGTACAAGAACAATCATATAAGATCAAAACACATCATTAAGTTAATTTACTTTCAGATTCTCGGCTTCAAATCAGATTG